GGAGAAGGGAGCAGTCGTGCTGGTGGTGTTGGTGGACATGGCAGTGAAGGTGTTCTCCATGGTCTTGTTTTGGCTTTCTAGGAAGCCAACATTGAGACAAAAGGTGGTGTCCCCTTTCTCTGAATATAAGTGTCCTTGTGCATGAAAACTGCAGAAATTATAGTGTACATTTCACACAACAAAGGATCGGCAAAGTAAAATAATTATTCCCCGCATAACTGACAATCAGAACTGTTCCTATACTGTTGGATACCCACCAGTCCAAGTAAGTGCTGGTACGCAGCATCAGTGGGCTATGCAACGAAAGGGGGCAGGTTTATTGGCAGGGAGGGCAGCAAAGGTAGCGGAGAAGAGGAGTTAGAGTATGGAACCGGTGAGTGAAGGGATCACACAGGCAAACAATTCTGCTCATGAATCCCTTGACCACAGCTCATGGGTTAGGAATTTGCTTCTGACCTTTTCTGGGCAGGAAACGGTTAATTCTGCCCATGGATTGCCTTAAAAGAGAGAGGATCCAGTCCCCTTTTGCGCTGATCATTGCCAGTGTGGCACAGGGAGGAAGGTCGGTCCAAGGAGACCCAAGTTAAGAACCTAAGAAGCTGACTGTACCAGCCGGGTTTATTTATTGCAACGATATGGTCCTTGCGGTTCAGGGGATTTCGCGATTGTAATGCACACCTTGTCAGAGGGAAATCTCTGTTGGGATATTAAGAGGCAACTGATTATGCTTCTATCATCAGAGGTGCCTGGCAAAGACAATCCGTTTTGTGTAACCCATTGCTTAACAGCCATCACCTCTGTCGTTGGAGCCACAACTCACGGACGGGGCTCGTGGTTTGCATGCAGAATGTCCCAAGTGCCGCTCAGAGAGACCTGCCGAGCCACAAGATGCCTGAAAATATAGCTTCATTTGAACTTTATTAAAAAGACGGTTGCATTTCTGGGCACTTTGAAATGCATTCTGTCTCCATGGATCTGTGGCAGATGCTTTCGAGTTTGTGGAACACCAAGTTGGAGCCTCAACTTACCTCGGTAGGGCAAAAGAAAAAGAAAAACTTTGTCCAAGACCCTGGGAAGTCACTGCCGGTCGGTGTTGATGGTACTGGACTAGACGGACCAAGGGGTGGGCTCAACATAAGGCAGATTCCAATGTTTCTGTTTACTGCAGAGGTTGCTAAGGGTTATGTGTGTTTCTTCTGCAGTTACATTGAATTAAGGTAATCATATCCTGGTTAGTTTCTTGTGAATAGTGGCCTCTATGTGTGCACACTGTGTGCGTGCGTGCGTGCGTGTGTACAGCTGATCTAGGGCTGTGTGTGTTTGTGTTTGCCTCCCCAACCAAACCAGAACCTTTTGTTCCAGACAGCGGTTGCCCTCTGGGAGATGCTAAGAGGGCTTCCTCAAGTGCAGTTAAAAAAATTAGGAAAGGGTGATGGGGAGGGAGAAAGGAGGAGGACATCAAAAGCAGCCCTGAGCTGAAATGTTGGAACACTCTTGATTGTTCCACAAGACGTCTTTGTCTTGTCTCTGTTCTCTTGGGATTTGGACTCCCCTTGTACGCTGCCTAGTACATAAATCTTAGTCCTATTACATTCCTATGCAACATAACCCGCAGCAGCTGAAGCTAAGATTTCTTCAAGTCGAAACAAAATGACTCTTCCCCGTATACCAAGCAGCATCAATATCTGCAGCCCTTTGGCAAATCCACAGTTTCATATTTAGCCCTTCAGGAGAACTTCTCTTGCAATGATTCCCTGGGTTTATTAAGTTTGCCCAGACAACCGGAAGAAAAGGAAAGGTTGTTGCATCAACTGCTCTGAAATTGTATATTGGCTCTTCTCGTGGGATGGTGCTCGTACATCCGTCCATTTGTCTGTCTGCTTTTACCGCATCCATACATTGCTCCCGACTTTCTTAGGATGTTAGGAACCATCCTAGTGGAGTGAGAAATGGGATCTAGGGAAGGGATACACAAATGGAGTGATAGGCTATGTTGTAGCTCTTTCCTGTTCCATTCAGTGGCGCAAAGTAGGCGGGATGCGAGGCAGGGCACGATTGTGGCAGGTGGCCTTGTGACCCTCTCCAAACAGAGTGGAAGAGGGAGGAGAGATTCTTCTTCACATAGTCCTGTACTTTATCCCATATCAGTGAAGGAGCCTGAGGATGGAACAGGGTTCTTTTCAGAAGCAGCAATTCCCAAAACCATCCTTTGAAAAGGGAAATTGTCTCACGGACTTAGGACTTCTTGACCCCGTTCCCTCGAGCTGTTATCCCCTGCAGGGAGGAAGTTACATTTACTCACCCTGAGAGAAAGAAGCAGCTAAGGGGACATTACACTCCAGGATTAAGGACAAATTCGGCATATATTATAGTGAAAAAATAGTTACCATGCTTATAAATAGTGATGCGTGAACAACTCATCTTGCAATTGCCAATGTTCTCCAAACACCAACTTAAACCTTGGCTAGCCCAATTTCCTGTGGCCAATTGCACTCCTTTTGCATTGCTTTTGAGTGGGGAAAGTGTTCTGATGCACAGGGCAAAGACATATTTTGAAAGAACAAACCCATAGGCTCCCCAGAGAGGTCCACCTGGCGCCGTCGTTATTTGTTTTTCGGCGCCAGGCAAAGACCTTTTTATTCAAACACTATTTTAATTGTTAATATTATTTATTTATTTTATTTTTCAGGCCAGGTCGACTCATATTATATTGTTTTATACTGTCCTTATTTATTTATTATTGTGAGCCGCCCCGAGACTTCGACAAATGGGGTGGCATAGAAGCCTTCTAAATAAAAATAAAATAAATAAAATAAATTCTACCCCCACAGAGTAAAGTGTGGATATGTGAGATTTGGGGTTCAATTTGCTTTTATAAAGTCTGCATGGTTCAAATGTTAATGTAAGTTTGGGGGGGGGTGGACATTTTCAGAGAAGATCTGCTCCTATGGGCTTTTGCATGTGCACATGGGGCATGCGCACGCCCGTTGGGAACATGGACGGAATTCCCATGTGTCAGCCCCGAAGAATGTCATCTGTGGGATTGCCACATGCAGCGGGGCCTTTTTGGTTGTAGTACCTGACTTTGGAATGGCACTTCCTTTTGGTAGAGGTTCAGCTCTTTCCAACATGGTGGACCTTCAGGAACCCACTAAATTTGTTCAGGCTTTGATTATAGGCAAGTGTTTTGGTTGTTTTAGTCATGGTTTTATTACAATTGATTAAGTTTGTAATTTTAGAGTTTTGAGGCTAATGGCATTTATCTATTGGGCTATTTTGGATCAGTTGTCAGCCCTCCTGGGCTCCTCATGAGGAAAATAGGATCAAGCGAACAAGGTTCAGAAAAAGAGAAATCATAATTTGATTCTACTTTGCTCCTTTGAACAGTAATCTCTGATACAGCCTCAACTTTCTATCAGATGATCAGCTCAACTGGTTGATTGTATCAGTCTAATGATGTAATTCATACCGTTTCTTTGTTTTCCTTCATACTATTTATTTGCATTTTATATTTTAATCGGAGTGGATCATATCCATACCAAATGTGCATCATTTGCTCACATGTCTTTTCTTAGCAAGTTTAACTTGGATAACTTGGAATAATTTTTCTCGTGCTAAGCAAAATGGCAACTGCCCTTCTAGACAGAGAGCTTGTTTTTTTTGCTTTGTTTTATTTTGTTTTTATTTTGCCATCTTCTGCAGAAACTGTGGACGGAAGCAGAGCCCTTGGTGATTCCTTGAAATGCAGGCTGCTTCCATTAACTTGTCCTGACATTCACTCACCCTTTCCCCCTTTAATAAGGCAGTTTTCTTTCTCCCCTTTCACATAAAAAGGCACATTGGGCATAACTGATGGACAAGCTCCTATTTCTGAAAGCTATCAATGTTGCAACTGTGAAATCGCACGTCCAAATATGTTTATCTTCTCAGCTTTTCCAGGCCGTGTGCTTTTTGGACATAGATTTTTGCACTTCAAGGAAGAACAAACTTTCTTTTAAAATGTCAGTGCAGAAAAGGCAAGATAAGGGGGCAGTCACAGCGCCAGCACTGCCTTTGAATGCTAACCAAAACCCAGGGCCAGCTGTCTCAAAGGCAAGTTAACCCCAGGCAGTTGTATTAATAAAACGCTAAGCAACTGTGCTTGTTCCCCCTGGAAATAAATACCCATTTCTTTGGGGGACTTTATGTTCTGTAAGGAGGTGATCTAGGTCTGGAAATCCTTCTTACCTATCTGCCCTAGTCCAGAGAAAGAATTCTTACTAAGAAATACGGAGCCCGATTTACTCTCCAGCTGCGGAATTTACACATACACAACTGTGGCTCTTGTTGGCCCAGTGGATGTGCTTAAGAGAGCTTGTCCCACCTGAATGGGGGCATAATACTACTTTGCAAGTTTGGTTGCTGCTTTTATTTATTCATACTTGTTGTTTGTCCCTTGCTGATGTTCCCAGTTGGTTCAGCAATGCCCGCCCAAGATGTACCATGCACAGTCCCTGGTCATAAGAGGTTTTTATCTGCTGCATTTGGGACACTGCTCCATTTTGGGGCAGATTCCAGAGCAGAGATGTGCTAACATGATGTGGAAATTATAACGGAGAGGGTCTCTGCCTAATAGCCTGCACTGTTTCCGGGCCACCTTGGCCAGGAGATGGCAAGTATAAATGTCTTTATGTAGACAATTATACTTTCCCTACCGAACCCTGCCTTGAAAACGGATGAGCGTTGCCTTGTAATGGTGACCCATGCTCTGGTAACTTCCCAGTTGGATTACTGGAATGCGCTCTATGTAGGGCTGCCCTTGAAGACAGTCTGGATACCTCAGTTGGTTCAGAATGGAGCTGCCAGGATGTTAACCTGCAAGTCTTCCTATCTGTATATGAAAAAAAAAGATATTCATATTTGGAGCACAAAGACACAGTTCAAAGAGGTGGCAAGCCACTGACAGCCCTTCCAATGTGACACTTTAGGGCTGAGTGTCCATCCTTTTGGCTTCACTGGCTCACATTGGAAGAAGAAAAATTGTCCTGGGGCACACATTAAATATAGCAACACTAACAAAAGCTGATGAGCAAAGCCAAAAAGGTCTGTGCATAATTTTCATGATATTTGCCCCCACCCTGCATACAAATAGTGAGAGCCTGCGTCCATTTATTTTACGTGGCATTGTGACACGACGTTGGCGTCTACAAAGTTCATGCTCGAGAACTGTGCAATCGAGTTAACAAAAGAAATTGCAAAAAATATCTCAGTGTTTTAAGTAAGTTTATGATTTAGCTGGGACTGCAGGTGGCGCAGTGGTTTAAACCGCTGTGCTGCTGGGCTGGTTGATCGAAAGGTTGCCGGTTCGAATCTGCACAATGGGGTGAGCTCCCGTTGCTCCGTCCCAGCTCCTGCCAACCTTGCAGTTCAAAGCGTGCAAATGCAAGTAGATGAAAAGGTACCACTTCGGTGGGCAGGTCACAGCGTTCCGTGCACCTCGGTGTCTAGCCATGCCGGCCACGTGGCCACGGAGACCATCTGCGGACAAGCGCTGGCTCCCTCGGCCAGGAAACGGAGATGAGCAGTGCCCCCTAGAGTCAGGCATGACTGGACTTCACGTCAAGGGGAAACCTTTACCTTTACTATGATTTAGGTTGGGCTCCATTTATAGCCATCCTGGGCCATGTGGGGCTCGTGGGCTGCAGGATGGACACCCCTGCTTTAGGGGTGCTACCACTGGCTGCCAATTTCAAGAGTGCCGTTTCTATCCCAGGGGGAAAGAGGTGTCACAGAAGGAGCAGCGGAACCCAAACAGGACCCATGGTGATGGCGAGCGGAGCAGGCAAGGTGGCTTCACCTGCCAGGTCACCTGAGATAGTGGTTGGAGGGCCCTAGAAGAAGAAGCACAACAAACCACGGTGAGTCCACTTGTCGGTCAGAAGCACCGTGGCTTGTTTGTGCAACAACCAACCAGCTGTGGCTTTTTGCCAGGGTGGGCTAACGTCATTTGTGAACCCGCTCGCTCAGTCAGAGACCGTAGTGTCCATTCCAATTGGCAGTGGCTTTTCTGCCCTGGCTGGGGATTGAACGGAGGGCCTTCCTTAAACGGGGAAGTGCTGCACCACTGAATTTATCCATTTTAACCTTTTCTGCTTCTGCAGAAAAGATCCTGGACCAGCGATTGTTGGATCCGGGACCAGCAATCATGAAAGAAGCTGGTTTCTGGCTGCTGCCCTGAGCAGCTCCTGGCTAACAAGTCCAGGAAAGAGAACAAGAAGAAATGCCACCACATTTAAGGACAGTCCTTGTCCGTGTCAGACAGAAATCGTTCCTGGCTCTGGCATTGTCCCTGCCTTCTGTTCCCTGTTGTTTGGTTGACCTGACAGACCACCTCGTTTTTGAGCCAGTCAAGGGATGCTGTGACAGGTGTGTTGTGCAGGCTGCATATTTCTCTTGCACTCTGGGCGTGTGGCTGATGGATGGGAGGAAACCCTCCAGCATGGCCCGACTCCCACCAGCGAAGGGGGCCGTGCCACACATGCAATGAAAAGAAGGCCAGATCAATGGTGCAAGGCAGGTTTATGGATTTCCAAATTTCCCAAGATAGTTCCAGCAGAAATGCTCCTCCTCGGGGGGAAAAGAGTCTGTACAGAATTTGAATGGCACCAGAATACAGATGCTTCTCCATCTCTTTGCAAGGTATTCCAGAGTAAATGAACAATTCTGCCAGTTGCAAGCTTGCAATACCTGTCAGGTTGTCTGAATGCAGTGAAATGTAGCCCCCTCCACTTTTCCCGATAAAGCCATCATGAATTCTTGGCTTTCTTCTCTTTTCAACACTTACTTGCAGAAATCCCAGTTTCTGAAAACTGCCCATCTTATCTCCATCTTGCTTCCCTGTCTGCTCACAATCGCGTCTGGAGAAGGCTTTCTTCTCGGAGAGGACCACACCAGCAGCCCTAGTATCTACGGGGGCCAAGGGGAAGCAGCAGGCCCCCTCAAGCACTCAGAGTGCCACCCAGGAAGGCAGCAAACCCAGAGTGTCCTCCAAGGCGGAAGAACGCCTTGAGAAGTCTTCAGAGAATCAGTGGGATATCTGGAATTTAATTTAAATGCATTGAAATAAATATTCCTGAGTATCCAATCCAATATTCCCGAGTACCCCAAAAGCTGACTCCCAGCGCTGATGTTTCCATGCACATCTGGCAAAACAAGGCTTTCCATCTCCAAGCCCCACTCAGCTGCAGGAAGCTCATACACAGTATCCCAACCCAAGGCCCCACGGATGCTCCTGAGGAGCAGTGGGGCACCAAGCCCAGCCTGGAAACCCTCTCCTTCACGGCCTGGTGGTTGCTGGTTCACCATCTCCTTCGGCTTAGCTCCTACTCCTAGTCCTGGGCAGTTCCCTTAATTCAGCAGCCATCCCTCCCACAAGCCAGGAGTGCAGCAGGAATCCAAAATGCATCCACCTGGCGTCAGGTTCTCATGCTAATCTGCATAGTTGGCAACAACCCAGCATTTTCTCTGGCCGTGTGGACTGATTTTTGCTTTGTTTTCACTTTCTGGGATTGTATGCAGACTCCCCATGCAAAAATACACAAGGTACCAAAATTAAGCTAATATATACGCCATTTAAGCACGCTCACACAACCGGTTATTTATTTACCACTCCATATCTGGGCAGATTCTGGAGCAGTGAGCAGTAAAACAATAAAGCAGTTAAAAGAATAAAAACCAGGCCTTAAAAATTAATGAAAGATGAGCACACTCTCTATGCACATTTTCTGAATGGGGAAAAATAAAAATGCAGATTCCGGCCATGAGGGGACAATCCCTGAAGCTTGCAAGGAGCAGATTAGTCGAAACCTGCGCCTCGCTACCTGTTTCTTGCCCGAGATTCATCCCTAGCAGTAGTCAGGAGAGGACAACCCTGTCCCTCTTTCAGCAACTTAATACTAAACCATGTTTCCAGTGGTAGACTGGATTGTGTGCTGGACTGAAGCATGGGAGATGTTTCGTGTTCTAGTCCCACTCAGCCTAAACTCCCTCACAGGGTTGTTGTGAAAATAACACGGAGGGGGGAAGGACAGGATGAACCACCTTGGGTTCCTTGCCTGAGGAACAAAGAATCGTTGCTGCTCCGGAAGCCACCCCTTCAACAGTCATTAGATCAAAGGGCATTAGCAATGGACATCATCTGGCCTTGAGCCTCCATTCTTCTGCGAGGATGCAAACAAATGTCCAGAGTTTGTACAATCGTTTGCCCTTAAGGCTATTTTCCCCCAGGCTGCAAGCCCCATCCAGACTTGCTTGTGCTGCAATTTAGAGCAAATTGCAATTCTTTGGTCTTTCCCCTTCCTTTCAGCCTTGGTGTACATTGATCTCCCCAGTGAGTTTATCAAAGAGTACAAAGAGAAGAGCCATATTGTCTTATCTTAAATTGCTCAGTATATTAACCTTCAGATCCAAGGGTTTTTGCCATTTTTCCCTCTCTAATCTTAAATGATAAAGGGCAGATCCATAAATAGTGATCTTCCTCCTCCATACAAATTCATTCCACATGGGCATTTCCTTCCGAGGTGTGACATTTAAGGCAGCTCCCACTTCACAGGAATTCCGGTTTCGTCCAGAGGAAAGTCGGGTTGGTGGGAGCTTCCCCGCCACAGTGAGGAGCTGTGCTCCGCAAACGGAACGGATGCTTCACGAGAGCATCTGCCAGGGTGGTCCCCACCCACGGAGCAGGCTACAGGCAGCTCTCTCCCCACCTTTTGGGGGCCCACTCAGCCCACTGCCCCCACCAAAACCAAGCCCAGCAGGTTAACTATTTCCAGGCCAGTCCAAACGTTGTCTATACAACTAAAAGTATAAAGATCTCCAAGCAGGTTTGTTTGTTGGCTCTTTAAGCAGCTGCCACGGAAGGTTGGGGAGATAAGTACATATGACTTCATGGCAAGCGGAACAAGGGCTGTTTTACCCCCCGTCTTCCGAACTTGCTTTTCCTTTTTCCATCGGTCGATGTGGGGTGCTTCAGGTTGGACTGGGAACCCAGGAGTCAGGGCTTAAGCTCCCACACACTGCAGCTCGCTGGGTGGCTTTGCCCCAGTGAAGGATGCTCAGCCCAACCTCACAGGGTTGTTGCGAGAATAAACTGGAGTTACGTAAGCTGCCCTTGGAAAGAGGAAAACAAGTGTGTTATAAGTGCAACGACAACAATATTTCTGGCTGTGGAGAAGGCAGTAGCTTGGAGGTGGAGCACCTGGTCCTGTGTGCAGAAGAACCCAGATTCAACTCAGCCTGGAGCCTTCCAGTTGCTTGGTATTTCATCTCCCATCAGCCCCAGTCAGCATGGCCAATGCTCAGGAATGCTGGGAGCTGCACCCACAATGGAGGGCAACCAGTTGGGAAGACCAAAGTAGCAAATACTAAATAGGTCAGTGGTTTGACTCAGCGTAAGTCAGTTACCTATGTGCCTCTTTAAATCAGCCATGAGGACTGGAATCTTATGGCCTTCAGATGTTCTGGCCTACACCTCCCATCAGCCCTGCTTGACAGACTATGATGAGGGGATCATGAGAGCTGTAGGCCAGAACAACGCAAGGGTCACAGTGGCTTGTCCTGGCAGTAAAGAGATACCTATATTCCCAAACCACCCGTGGGGACCTCTCCGTATATCGAGGCAATGCGAGTTGTTTAACCTAAACTTGCTTCCTGAAGGACAGCGGTGCCCGTAATGTTCTCTAACTTGACTGTTCTACTTCACACATTAAAAAAAAACAAACTCTGGCCGACCCCCTATGGATTGCATAATGTCCTTGAAGATCAGCATAGTAGATGTTCTAAGCTCCACAGGGAGTCCATGGACTTCTAAGAGCTTCGAAATCGCATAGCAAATAAGTCCAAATTAACCATGCTGTCTCTCCCCATGCATTCAAAGGTAGGAGCGCAGTTGCCCAAAATGCAGCTAAAGTTAATAGCCCAATCGGTTTTAAAATAAGTTTGGAAGCAGGGATAGAAGACAAATTATTTTCCCAATCTGTGGATTCATTTACTTATGTATTTTAAATCTCTCTTTCCCACTTTCTCTCCCCCTCCCTCCCAGCCAGTTCTTTAAGAAGCTACTTTTTACAGAGAGCTGCGAATGCAGAGCAAGCGTTCATCAAGAATCAAATTTCTGTCCAATGGAAAGTTTGTAATCCAAATGAATGATGGAAATGGATCAAATTGGCTGATTCTTGCGTCACGTTCAAATTGCAGGCTTTTTCTCTAGACTGCTCTTTGCATTTTGCTGGCAGCCACCTTAAACTTAAGCATCCTTACCTGGAAGTAAATTCAATGGGAATCAATGATTCTGAGTAAACATAGTTAAGGTTTTGATTTGTGATTCCCCTCTAAAAAGGGGAGGGAGAGAAACCCTTCTAGTAATGTAAATTTACAGATATTTGCCTATGGCATCAGGTTCAAATTGTGATAATGGTTCTCCATCCTGCTACTAATTAACCATTAGTTAATTAATAGATAATCCATTAGTTAATGGTTATTTAACTAATTAGTGCTATAATGTGTGCATTATGATCAATTGTGTGTGCTTTGTGCTTATTTTGCATATATTTAATATAATTGTCACAGACTTATTTATTCACTTGCTTATTTGAATCCTATTCTTGTCTGACCTCACATACCCCTCCCTGTACCGTCATGCAATGATTCCCCAAGCTAGCAGTAGTGGGAGATGGGAAATAAGGAAGCAATTCCTTTAATTTGAGATTTAAAGGGAAAAATCTGCACAAAAATGCAGATTAAAAATGCATTTTCTTACATATTTGAAATATAAGTTTTCTTAAAGTATGCATCCATAAATATCTTGCATGCATTTAGAGATGAATTTCACCGACTCTCCGCCTAACTGACCTCACAGGGTTGTTGTTCTGAGGGTACAATGCAGAGGAGTGGGAACTTGTAAGGCATCTTGGGTTCCTTGCAAGAGGAGGAAAAGTGGGATATAAATGCAAAGCCCTCATTCCCATCGCTCATTGAAGGGTTAGGTGGCAACACAGCACAATGGAACAACCCTGTGTATGGCCGCTTCTTTCTTCCATTATCGAGGTCTTCCTTTGCTGAGGTTCTGCTCTTTTAAAAGGGGTTCTTTGCCCATGATATGGAGTTTGCCAACAGCTGCTAAACCCAGGTAATGAAATCTTCCTTGTATTTACTACCATGTTGATGGATTCTGTTTCCTACTCCCCTCCACAGACACAGTTTTCCAAACTGGCAAAAGCAAATAGATGCTTAGATACCACAGGGAACAGCATCTTGCCGCTCGATCTCTAACATTGGACCTATTTGTAGTTATGGCTCGAAAACAAGGAAAGCTTTTATAGATTTAAATTTCTTAAATATACCAAAGAGGACAATCTGTATGCGTTACGTTATACATAATGCATTTCATGTTTTGTTTTCCAGACACTAAAGCAAGTTTTGCATTGCCTGTATTCCACTTTCCCCTAAATTGCTTTCCCCCATGCCCAAGGGGGGAAAACAGCAAGCCGTGAAATGCTTGCCCTGTGGTTGCAACATTTCTAGAAATTGTCCCATTTCTGTGAGCACTGCAAGATCCCAGTTCATCATTATGACTTTCCAGCACTCATGTGCAAGGACTTCGTGGTGGCCTTCAGCTGATAATATCCCATTCTCATCTTCATTTCCATCAAATCCTAGGACCATTACAGCATCCCCTGAGCCACCATGCAGGGCTTTCGTAGCTCAGTGACCTTTCTTGGAGAAGTCCCCAGGTCTGGTTCCTGGGACCACCAAGCAGGACTGGAAAAATACCTGCCTGGCACCAGGGAGAGCCATTCCCAGTCAGTGCCACCTGGGCCAGGTGGATTCCAGGTTTGACTCAGTATCAGCCATCCTGAGTCAGTATAAGTCCTGGGCAGACATCTGTCCTCATAATCTAGTAATTCCTCTGGTCCTGGTTTGCTACTAGAGATGGGAGCTGCAGAGCCAAGCACCTTTCTTCATCTTAGGCTCCTGAGATGACCACTGTCAGGTCTCCCCGTGAAGGACCTGGTCTGAATTCTCTGTGCTTCAGGAACTCTGTGCTTCCGGAACTGAGTATGTCACTCCCCCAGAGTGCAACCACGGAGTCCAATGTCATCACTGTTACATGCTGCCAAGTCATCCCCGGCTTAGGGCAACCTCATGAATGAATGCTGTCCTGTCCTTCACAGCCCTGCTCAGCTCCTGCAGACACTGAGCACAGCAGCAAAACATTATTGACGTATCCAGGAGAGAGACTCATAGAATCCTAGAAGAATAGAGTTGGGAGGGGCCAGGAAGGCCATCCGGTCCACCCCCTGATGTTGCAGGACACCGTCACACCATCCCACTCAGGTGGCTGTCCGGGTTCTTTCTGAATGTCTCCAGTGTGGGAGAGCCCCCCACCTCTCCAGGCAGCTGGTTTGCTAAAGCTTAAATCAAGATCCACACCCCTTATCTGAGAACAAACCCACAGGGACGCACAATTTCTGGACATGTCGGGTTCCTTCTGTCTTCGTGAGTTGTTTCCTTCCTCTTCTCCCCAAAAAAGGTGGGGGGGTTAGGTGCGGGGGGGGAGGACCTGGAATAAATGCAGTGTCCTAAAGTTAGTCTAGTAATTGAGGAACACAAACTGCATTATGTATAATGTAGCATATAAAAATTTTCCTTTGGGGATCTGTGCTTGTTTGTTTTATAGATTTTAACATGCCTTTCAAGGGACACTTCCATCAAGAGGTGGGTCACAGTGAGCCAAAACATGTGCACATTAAAATTAAACATGTAAACACACCCGCAGCAGCAGCGACCACAGCGAATGATTTTCAAGCACATAATACAGCATGGAATATAAACATCTTGAGGGTGTCTCCTTGCTGGGTCATTTGTTTTTACTCTCAGCAGTGGTGAGGCCATAGCTATCTCCCCAGGGGAAGATTTCCAAAGCTGTGGGACTACCATGGAGAAAGACCCATCCCCAATACCCACCAGCTTCATGGGTTTGCTGGTGAGTTAGACAATAGTGCTTCTGAGCCACATCTTAATCCTTGGCAGGATGGTCTAGGGGAAGGGCTTGGGGGAACGTGGCCCTGACCCAAGTGGGGCTTTGGAGGCACCTAGAACTGGATCCAGAACCCAAGAAGGGGAATTCTCTGGGGCAGGAGCCTGGCTCTCACAAGCATTCGAGCTGCAACGTTTTGTACCAGTCGCGGTTTCCAAATCCTCTTCAAGGGCAACCGTACACAGAGCGCATTCCAGGACTCTAACGTGGATGGAACCAAGGCATGTGTCGCTGTGGCTCGGTCTGGCTTCTCCAGATAGTGCTACGAAATTAATTGCTACTTCTTGACTGAATTATTGAGATGTACAATAATCTCTCTCTCTCTCTCTCTCTCTCTCTCTCTCTCTCTCTCTGAATGTTTTTTTTTCTTTTTTTTCTGAAAGTTATTGGACTGCATGCAAGCATCATTCATGACACTCTGATAATAAGTTCCTCCAGAGGTGGATAGACCAAGCTCTCGAGGTTAAAACTGCAGATTGTGCAGGTGGCAGTGTGAGGGCCAGGGTGGCCTCTTGGTTTTGAGCCTGGGACTGGGACTTGGGCGATCCAGGTTCTAGTCCTCACTTGGCCATGAACCTCACTGGGGGCCAGTCTCAGACTCTCACCATAACCACCTCACAGGGTTGTTGTGCGGATGCAAGGAGAGGAGGAGCCTTGCAAAACCAGGCTGGGTTCCTTGCAAGAGGAAGAAGAGCAGGCATCCATGTAACACAGTCCTAATAAATATCAAGCATGCTTTAAGCATGCATACATGCCTAAATCATACAGCAATACATTATTTTAGTGTGTTATGTAAATGTTACGATTTTAGGCTCTGACTGGAAGAATGGAGCCCGAGATAGCCCTTTAGCATTCATTCTATGTTTTACTTCTTGGAAAAGCTGCAGCCTGTTCTTGAACAAGACATGCAGTCTAAGCATGAATGCACTAGAACCACTGTGACAAAGAAAATTAAAACCCTGGGGAACTGACCATGCTGCCCAGCCAGGAAAGGCACTGAAAGTACAACTGAGTGCCATATACCTAGAGACAGGGTGGATCCAGGCCTTAGAAAAGCACACCCTGGGCAGTTTTTGATCAAAATGAAACAACAGGGAGGGAGGGAGGGAGGGAGGGAGGGAGGGAAGGGCAGCCTGGCATTCTTGGTGTTCTGCCCCGTCACCACGTGACTACCGTTCTCTGACGATTTGCCCCCATGAAGGTGTGGGGACTCTTAACAGAAAGCAAACATAAAACTTCACCACCCATGGCAAAAACCTACCCATCCCCCCCCCCCACTTTCCACTTTGGTCTCTAGGAGATGCGCCGATCAGCCATGGAGCATTCCGTGCACACGCCCCCACACACATTCCGGCATCAGGCTCCTTCCGCTGCTCTTCATTTTTTGCTCTGAAGAAATCAAAATGCCTTCAGAAGAAAGGCACTCAAGTCACAGAACAGATTTGCAAACTGTTCTAACTGCGTACCAAGGGAGGTGGCTGTAACTTGAATCCACACGCGTGGGCACGGAAGATGCCCGGATCATTAGCATCCTAATTACTCCGTTTTTATTTATTCAAAGAATGTACATCCTACCTTCCTATCAACTTTGATGTTCAAAAAGGGAGGGGGAGGCCTATTAGACTCTCATTGAGATAATCACAACTGTGCAAGGGCTTCTAAGTTTGGGACTGAACACAGAAATCAAAATCATTTTGGGTGGGAGAGAAGGGGACTTTGGTTTTCCAAGCCCAGTTCCAAATCTAGCTAAGACGCATTGGCTGGGTTCAGACAACACAAAATTGGGTCTGTTATGGTGGGTGGATTCACCCATCACTAAGCCATGGTGAAATCTTACCGTTGTGGTTTTGTTGTGTCATTCATTGGCCACTTCATTGATGGAATTAGCACCTATCCAAAAGTGCCTCTTTTCTAGTGAAACTTGATGAACAGGGTTTTTGTAGATCCTCTACACAAATTACAGTCAGAACTTAGTTTCTCTTGCCGTTTTGCACTTCTCTAATGGTCTAATGTAGTTCTTGGCTCAAAATCCACCTCAAAATACATTTAAAATAACAGTTTTGGAGAAAATCAATTGAGAATTGCCATTTGGGATAAAGCTCATTTTCAGATGCATCTTTCGTGAGAAAATCATATTTAGAATATTATTTGCACCCGTATCTCAATTCCAAGTTTGTGCGCATATTTTCAAGAAGACTGAAACAGATCCAAGAGGGAAACATGCCAAGATGGATTGGGAGGTGAACACATGCAAGAGTTACATGGCCCAAACCAGACCAATTCATCAGTTCTCTACTCATTTCTCTGCAGAAGCCCTTCCATCCCTTTCGGCACTGATGGAGCGATCCAATCACCTCCAATGAGGGAGAAATAATTGTCTTTTTCAAGAAGGGGTGGGCTGTTGCTATGTTCCATGAAACACCCCATCAACTTTCAATTGCCGGAGCACAAGCTCTTCGCTCTTGTCCGATTCACCTAAGCCGTTGCAGCATCAAGGGCAGCCTTGGTAATTGCCTCGCCCAGGGAGTCCGATTTGAG